ACTCAGATATTTATTTAAAATTAAGTAAAAATTTGAGTCATGGTTAGAGATACTCTAAATAACAAAAAGAAAACTATTCCCACCCCCAAAAAATTCAACCTCCTCAAATTAAACTTTTTAATACCAAACTACTAAGTTCACCTCACTACATTCACCCCCAAACATATACTATTTCCACCCCCCTACATATTCTCGCTCAACAACTTGGATTTGTTTGGAGTTGATTTTTTTAGGTGAAAAATTACAAATTAAAAAGTTTGGCAAAAAAGTCAAAATTAAAAAAATTCCTCAAACTTATTTAGGGCGCTCTTTAAAAGGGTAAAAAAGTTGAAAAAAATCTATTTGAAGTGACTTTATAGTTTTTTTTTGTTTTTGTGTCAAAATAGTATTTGGAGTGACTTTTTGTTTTTATTTTTTTCAAAATACGAATTTTAACTTTTTTCACATCACTAAAACATTACTGTATAAATTGATAAAAAAATCAAAATTTAAACAAACATAACTTATTTTATTTTAAAACCCTTAAAAATTATCCATTTAAATTAGCTTCAAACATATTCATTAGGCAACCTCAGACTAAACACAACCACCTCGAGTTGCTTTACTGGATATATTATAGTCTAATCATTGATAGACAAGTCAACCAAATTTCAACTTGTTGCTTTGACCTTACTTACATTTTACAAGATCCAAGCTTCACTCTTCATCTTTGGAGTGAATTAAGGATTTTTTAAGATGCAATTGAATTTGGAGAACAATACGAAGAGTGAAGTTGTTTGGGTTGTTTTGTGGTGAGATGGTAAAGATATATTTAAAAGTTATATATGGTACCAAAAAAAAAAGAGTGAACTTAGTTATTCATGTATTGAATAAAAATATGATTTTTTTTTTCAATCAAGTGTGCCTATTATAAAGAGAAAGAAATTGTGAGATTTGAAACCGTAATTTCAAGGTTTAATAAAGGACGGGACGAAGTAATTAGATAAACCACTATCCTTTATATAAATACTAGTTATTGTTTGTGTCCGAAGGCACAGAATAATAAAAAATAATAAACAATAAACATATTTGTATTCATATTCAAAATCAAATTACAAACATAAAGAAGAGATAAAGAAATTTAAACATCAGTTTGTTGTAGGGGAGAGAGGTAGTGGACGACAGTGGTTGTGGTAGGAGACAGTGATGGTGGTGATTGTGGCGGCGACGGCAATGGTCGTAG